CAAGCTGTGTATCAAGAAATATCTCCATCTGGTGGCAAAAATATTGAACTTCAGACAGACCCTTGGAGCTTCTAAGTGAAAACAAGAAACACAGACATTGTGTTCCATGTGATGGAAGGGCTCTCATATCAGTGACAACAAACTCTTAAAGTGACAACTTTTTTTTCTAGATTAAAAGTACAAATGGTTAGTTGTTAGAACAGTAAATACATGCAACCTAAGGGGTCCAGCCACAAAGGTGTACATTTCATTTAGAAAGAAAAAAAATGAACATAAAAACTTACTTGTACTGTAATAATAATTTATGAGTTTCATTTGCCTTTCTATAGGATTAGGAAAATGTTTCCATTCCTTTTTCTAATTTCCCCTTAAGTTCCTTACATTTTTTTTCCTATGGAACATTCTAGTCTTTCTATTTTAGTCGTTGTTATATAGCATTCTGTCAACTCATAATGGAAAGAAATGGGAAAAAAATAATAAAATACACTTTTATATGTTTTCATCTAAAAAAGGCATTTATGATATTTTTCCCCAAAGGTTTTAGTTTTGAAAATAAAATTTAATGTGTTTCATACCTCAGTAAAATACTGCTTTTTAAGCTAATAGGAAAATCAACTTGTGATTTGACTGAGTGATTGATTTTTGCATCAGTATGTGATTTTAAATAATGAATTGCCAAAATAGCAGGAAAGTATCAAACTAGCTAGTCCTTGTTTTATCTTGCTGCTTTGGTCTCTGATTTATTACTTCAGGTGAAAAAAAAAAGTATCTCCTAGTCTATCTGAAATGTTTACATAGTGGTTAAAAAACACGATGAAGACCCTTTCTAGGTTCTCATTTTGCTCTCTTTACTGAAGCTGTGTATCAAGAAATATCCCCATCTGGTGGCAAAAATATTGAACTTCAGATAGACCCCTGGAGCTTCTAAGTGAAAACAAGAAAACACAGACATTGTAATGTTCCATGTGATGGAAGGGGTCTCATATCAGTGACAACAAACTCTTAAAAGTGACAACTTTTTTCTAGATTAAAAGTACAAATGGTTAGTTGTTACAACAGTAAATACATGCAACCTAAGGGGTCCAGCCAGGTGCATTAGGGAGTGGATAAAGAAATCAGCATAAATGCTGACTTGGCCAGATGCCTGTGGCCCATTTCAGCCCGTAGTTTTGTTTATTATGCAAAATATTGCAGCCGAAAATGATGCACATCTCTCATTCAAAAGGATCTTGCGAGTACAAGCAAAATGGCCTTCAAGGCATAGCACCCCAAAATTAATCAGATGCTTGCTCCATGGATAGGATCTAGAATTTCCCCCAGTATTGTTCCTAAATATTACATTTTATTACTCATTTTATTTTTGAAAGAACTTCATGAATTCGTAAATGTTATCATATCAACAGTCAGAAACACTAAGATGTAATTCAAAACAAGACTGTTTTTCATGAGCTGTGAATGCAAAATAACATTAAGCGACAGTTTTTAAAAAATTGTAAGTAATGATAACACCAGTCCTAATAAGTTTAGCTTTTAATAAGAAATGTGCTTATTTCTTAAATATCAGTATATCTTCACAGGAAATTTTAGGATATTAAAATGAAGAAAACGTCTTTGAATAAGTGGGGAACTTTTCATAATTTTAGGTAGCAATATTGAGTGTTCCTTAAAAACATAATAACATTTTACCAGTTGTAGGATTTGAGTGTAAGAATCCCTATACATCATATTTGCGTGTTTAAACGATTTGAAAAATAATAAACATCTAAGTAGCCTCTTGAGATGGAAGAAATACAAGGGACCTGGCACGGTAGCTCAGTTGGTTATAGTGTCATCCCGAAATGTCAAGGTGGCAGGTTTGATCCCTGGTCAGGGCACATACAATAAACCAATAAATTCATAAATAAGTGGGACAACAAGTTTATATTTCTCTCTCTCTCTCTCTCTCTCTCTCTCTCTCTCTCTCTTTCTGTCTCTCTCAAATCAATACATTAAAAAGAAAGTGGGTTTTTTTTTAATAAACATAAAAGAAAGAAATACAAGCAATATTAGCAGACTCTGCTTGATAGTCACTGTGAACTTTAATAGCCCTGAGTTTTACACTGTCTCTTAGGAAGCAGTGAGGAAACGTGAGCTTGAAGAGATGCATAATTGTGTGTCACAAAATGCAGCTCTTTCTTAGCTACAAAGAAAAGCTGATTAAAATAGTTTTGTGAATGAATGCAGAAAACTCTAGTGATACAACAATTCCACATCCAAATGGACAGGGCCGATGATCTTGTTATTATAAAACCCAAACTGCCTTTGTGGAGGAGGTTGAAGGCCAGTAAACTCTACAGCCCTGACCTCAGCTAACTCTCTACAAATTCATACTCCTGTCCAATCAGGATAATGAGTAATATTTTTTTAAAGCCAGTTAATATTTAACTGATGTTAGTTGGATAAGTAGGTTGATAATCTTTTAAATCCTTATTATTAATTGTTGAATCAAAGATAGTGTGCATATACCAGTACACACTTTTAAATACAACATTCTTCTTGCTTAAAAGTTGCAAAAACATTGTAATAAAAAGCACTAAGAGCCTGTCACGTTGCTGGATTCTAAAATGCAGACTGACTTGAAGGAGCTGTCTGGTAGGGACATAGCCTGGGTGATTGATAGAGCTGCTTCCTGAAAGTAACAAGAGGAGAGTTCTGAATAGAATGTGATTATCTGTCTTTAAATCATACAGCTTCTTCTTATTATTGTTAAAGATACAGCAAATGATTTTATCATTCAAACCTTTTATTATTTTTTGTCCTAGCTTTTTGTTTGTTGCTTTTTGTGTTTTTGTTTTTTTTTGTTTGTTTGTTTTTTAGTATAAACAAATGAACTAAACAGCTTGCCCACAACCAGAGTGGACTTGTTTCTGGGGTTGATCACATTCAGATTCAACTCAAATAATTTGAGAACTCATGTGCTTCCACAGACTTTGACTTCAATTGAGAGGATATATTTTGAACTCATCTCATAGATTTTTCCCCATGATGTTGCTGCTTTATTGTTCCCATTAACTTTCTACAGTAACACTGTGTGGAAAGAGCAGAAGTCAAGAATCATGATATCATGATTTAAATTCTTAAATGTATGGCTTATTTTTGAGCCCTTCACTCATCTTTATATATAAAAGCCTAATATGCAAAGTGTCCCCTTGGGAGTTCCACTGACCAGGAGTTCGATTGCTCGCTATGATATGCATTGACCATCAGGGGCGGTGCAGAATGAAGGAAGGCCCTGGCTGGCAGGCGGCAGCCACTAGGGACCTTACCCTGCACAAACTTCCTGCATGGGCCTCTAGTACATTATAAGAGTTGTTATTCCTACAATGGAAAATAGTATTATGTAGAACTGAAGGATATCTGAGTTGATGCAACAACTTCTCCAAGACTCAAGAAGTCAGAGAAGCCACAACTGTGAAACATTGCTTCTTTTCTGCATTAGTGAACATTTGGAGATCTAGGTCAATGTAAAACCAAACAGAGGAGGAGGTGCAGACATTTCTCAAACTGTAAAATGTCTACCAAATCTAAACAAAATTTAGATATTGATAATAAGAATTCTGAGAGCAGTGGATATATATCATTACAGTGACCTTGTGTGTCACTTAATTAAATTCGCAATCTATGATGAAGAATCCCTTATAGTGTTACTTATTTATAACAATGATAATTTGAGCTGAATGTCAATCATTCCTTATGTTAAAATGAAGTCACCTGAATGACTTAGTGGGTCAACCATGCATACTTAGCTATAAGTTCAAGGAATAGACAGTCCTTCCCTAGATGAGAAACTTAGTAATATGAGAAGGTAAGATCTATGTGGGATGGCTAATATTTTCCTTAGAATTAGATACAAAAATGATATTAATTAAATGCTAAATTACATATTGGTGCTAATCAATGTAGAGAAAAGAATTGTGTCTGTGTAGGTACTTTATGTATGCACAGAGAGGGGGAAAAATGTATCATCCATATATAATAGAATCAGCAACTAGAATTACATTTATAAAACAGCAACCAGAGTTACGTTATGCTTTTAGTGGTATCTAAAGGGAACATGCATTTATTGCAATGATGTTGCCCAGGCTTCACAGGTTTTTCAACAAATAAAAAGATAATTCTGTATCAGCTAAAATCTAACATGTGACAAATTGAGTTTCTTACTTAGAATATGGGTTATAGCATCCGATATGAGCCAGGCTGTATCAAATATAGATTTCTATAATATATATATCTTGTACATATAGAAACAACATTTATAAAATAGATATTCAAGTATATGAGCCAACACTTATTCCACTAAGTATATTGTACCATAAAACCAGTTTGCATAAAGTGCAACAAAGTATAATTTTTGGAAAAATGTTGGGATTTTATTTTAGGTTTTCAAAGATGTTTCCTTTTATAGATGACAAACCTTGGATTTGAAATCATATGAAAACTTTACAAAAACATTTGTTTCAAACTTCCTGCATTTTCATTTTGTAATCAAAATAAAGCATAACATTATATATGTACTAGAGGCCTGGTGCATGAAATTCGTGCACTCAGGGGAGGAGGTACCTCAGCCCGGCCTGCGCCCTCTCACAACCCGGGAGCCCTAAGCCGTCAGTCGGACATCCTTAGCGCTGCCACGGAGATGGGAAAGGCTCCTGCCACTGGCGCTGCGCTCGCCAGCGTGAGCCTGGCTTCTGGCTGAGCAGTGCTCCCCCTGTGGGAGCGCACTGACCACCAGGGGGCAGCTCCTGTGTTGAGCATCTGCCCCCTGGTGGTCACTACACATTATAATGACTGGTTGACCGGTCTACTGTCTTCCCCCTGGTGGTCAATGCATGTCATAGCGAGCAGTTGAGTGGCCTTAGCATATCATTAGCATATTACGCTTTGATTGGTCAAACAGACGACCAGACACTTAGCATATTAGGCTTTTATTATATAGGATACTTGATGGACTGAATGTAAATAATCAATGTTCCACATTTTAACTCTGTACTGGCAGAGCGATGACAAGAATTTCAGGCGTGGGTCAACCTGGAGAAGGCAGTTTCCTCCCCGTGAAGTACATGGAATCAGCATGATGCCTGGGTCCTCAGAAACATTACCAGCCGGATTCAGGTTAACCACAACATCTGGGCAGTCAAGGAAAATGGCGACGGATGGTACAGATGTTTTGCATTTCTGCTTATAAAGTGAAAAGCTTGTTTAGCAAATGCTAGTATCATTCTCTGACCTTGCATAGCTTTTCGGAATTGTTTTCTTGAGTTGGTTTGCTCTGCTTGAAGTTTGCTTTGCTTTCATCAGACCAGACTCTTTTGCAAACTGCTAATGCATGAACTCATGGCACTTTATTTACATTTAAACAATGATTTATAATATCCTAAAAGAAAAATGTTCACACCTAGGAAGATTAATAAGCATCAGCATGATTTGTGTTTCTTTTCTATTCCTAAATTAAATAATTTGTTTAATTAGAGGTAGTAAATGGAAATTAACTCCACTGCCATCCACATATTTGAATATTTCAAGTTTTATATGTCACCTTAGGAACTCAGACTCATCAGATACTCTCACCTTTGACCAAGGTAGAAGGCCGTAAATAAACAAGCACAACCATGAGAAGAGAATTAAACAAACACAAAACCAACAGTCATTTCCCAATGAGCACTTCCTTCTGTGGACATTAGAATTGTGTTACCTACTTTCCAAAGGAAAATAGCCTTTCCGGAGGAGAGACAACTAGGCATGCAGTCACAAAATTATTTCTGTTTGATAAGCATTAAAAAGCAAATAGCCCCACTCTATTATGGCAATCACCTAGAACTGTTTCTTCCCAAGTTTACAGTTATCATGGCCTTTAAAATTCATTCCCACATAAACTGTGACCTTTGATTCACATGTTTCCTAACTTGTTAATATTATGGAACATGCTCGCGAAATTTATGAGTAATTTAACATGATTAAAATTAGTGTAGAACCCCTTCAATACTCTGAAGGGAAAACACCCACCCTACTAAATCCTCTAAGAGCCATCTTTGCTTTAAAAACAGAAGCGCCCTGGGGAGCTGCTCTTGTTGCAGATTTCATCTCAGGAGAAGGCACAGCCTGAAAGCTCAGTTGAATCGCATTGGAATACATTTTCATTAGTAACTTGGTCTAGAGAAAAGGAATGTGAGTGGCTTATACCTGAGAGAAAGAATGTCTACTGATAAGTTCAGGCTCCCTTTATGCAGGGAAAAGAAATCTTTCTCATCTGAAATTCTGTACTCAATCGTCCAAGTCCCTCTAAAGCCCTTTTCTCCATTTGCAGTTGCCTCTTCAAGACTGCAGAGGTTAGACAACTCCACTGTTCGCACATACTCATGTTGACAAGCCACTCAAAGGAGGCAGCACTGACTTGCTGTGAGTAGTTTTCCTTGGCTGACAAAAACCAAACCACCACAAAAATGGAACCTACATAGACTAGTAAATATACACAATACTCTTTGGTACGGCCTAGCAGAACAGAGGTGAGATAACCCCTTTGAATTGCTAGAGGGTGGAAAGGAATCTATATTTTAACTCTTCATCTAGGATTTTCTATCATCATCTGTCTGCTGTGGTTCAAGGTCTGTTTGTTTGTTGGAGGCCTGTCACTATCTTAGTACACACCAATGGGTTGCTACCAGTCTTCTACTTTTTAGTAGCATATTATATTGACGCTCATAGCAATATTTATTGATGAGAGTTTGGCGCTTACAGAAAAATACACTTTTAAGTGAGTATTTTAATAAGGGAAGCTGAAATACGCAGGGAGTGATTTTCAGAGTCAAATAGTGGCAGAGACAGGAAAATGATTTGGAGATGATTTCATTTTAAAAATAAAAACATAACTGAGAACTTTGAACTTTTAGTATGCTGTTTTTCACCACTATGATTTATATTTGTTGAAATTAAATATGAATTTTAAGTATCTTGGGCTTAAAGCATAGGAACAGAGTTAAATTACTTTGTAAGAATTGTGGACAGGACTAACAGAAAACCTTGAAATGTAATCATAAGGTGTAACGCATGTGTAGTTACAGAAATACTAGTTGGTGGAATTGACTTGCAAATCTATACCAAAATGGAGTTTCATTAGCAGTCTTAGAAAAACTGGCTTCCTAGATTATAAATGTCAAGTGCTCAAAAAACATTTTTTAACCTAAAACTGTACTTTACCAAAATACTTTACGATTCACAATGAATTAATATTTTAGAAAAATACTTTGTAGAGCAATAATTAGAAGAAAATGTATGCACAGAGAAGGGAGAGGAAGCAGTTATAGGCAGAGTAACAGCTCATCTTGTGCTGTTTATTCATTGCCTTGAGTGAAAAGCTCCATACAACTTATTGTTGGTTTTTGGGGCCTAATTTGGGAGCTGATATGTTGCCTTATTTAGGTCACTATTTGAAGCTGCTGATGATAAAATAAAAAGCCTTCAGATAAGAGATTTAATTTCAGAATATAAAACCCTAACATTAAAATTTTAATTGCAGTATGCAATTTGGCATCTAATTGGGCATGATCTAAAGTATATAATAATTTGGCTAATTTGGCTAAATGAGAAGCTTTTTAAAATACTGTTTGGAATAGCTTCTATATATAACATAATTTTGCCAGAAATGAATACTTCACTAAGTTACAAATGTCTACTTAATATGTTGAGTAGTGCTTGCTTTTTAGCTCTTGATTGATGGGTAGAATAACTCTTTAACTATTTGCGATCTGTATTTTGTGCATGGCATTCAAGTTCATATTTTTTAGTTTTTACCATTCAATAGGAAAAAAACTTATTTACCATAGGTTAATCTAGGAAAACCAATTTTTATTTTGACATAACATTAGCAACTTTGTCATTAAAATAATTTAGAACATTGTTTATTATTTATTTTGTGTCAGGAATAGTAATTGTGGACTTTCCCTAAAAATATTATGATAGGAAAAAGTCAATGATGCTACATCTCTGACCCAGATCCTTTAAAATGTTATTTATTATCATTATATTACTGTCATAATTAAACCAACATATCTCCAAAAGAGCTCTAAAATACTAGTGTATGAGCTAGAATACAAATCTATTCCAAGGAATAGGCCAACTATGCCCAATTTATTATTAAGCAAGCTGTAAATATTTCAAAGGGACTGCTGACATTTTCTTTGAACACCTTTTTTTTTTTAATATTCCCATCATACTTTCCACAAAAGTGAGCAAATATTACTTGTTAAGCTTGCCTGCACAGAATTGGAGAAGAGCAAATGTTCATTACATACAGCTGTTGGTTACATCCTGGATGATATCCTGTTCATTATCTCTTAGGACAGGAGGAGGCAGGCTGCATGGCGGCAGCAGGTGTAACGGGGGAGGGGGACTTTTCAGTCTGGGACCTTTCAGTAAACTAATGCTGTCCATTGAATATTCTAGATGTCGTCTTTTCGGTCTACCCTACCTAAAGTGCACTACCATCCAAGAAGACGAGCAGTGAACACCTTTGTGAAAACTGAATTCTAAGGAAATAACCACAAGTAATGGTTTATTAAACTGAAAATGTGATTTTGGGGGGAGTCAGATATGTTTGATTAGTTCACTACAGTTGTAAGAAAATGCTTAAGTCATTTGAATAATAAACATCATCCACATCATAACTTCTGTACAACAGATGCTTTTATGAAATGGAGCCACCTGTTTTTTCATGTTTTATTGTAATATACTAGGCATTTATGTATTACTGTGTATGTATTTCTTTTTAAATGTGTAAGTCTTATGTAAATGGATATAAATATGATTTTTTAAAAAATAAAATATATGGTTCATGGAGTCTCAAGTGCAAACATTTGACAATACCAAGTACTGTTTGTATTTTACCATTCCACCATTTTTACAGTTTTTGAATTATAACAGTCAAATTGGTATGTTTCCTGGAAGCATGTTTCATGCCTCCACATGTTTCACCTTCAAAGTCTGTCAATACTTAAAGCTGAAAACCTGCCTCTGATCATGTAAAAAAGAATGATTTAACCTGGAACTGGAGCCAAAAATAGACCTTTCAAGGCAATCAGGGATGTCCTCTATCTTTAGAAATAGCACTGTGATGGCTCGATCTCCTTTTCAATACAAGACAAAACCAAACTGTTTACAAGAGTCAAAAAGATTATTTAAAAAAATTTATAAAGAAAAAGACATTATCTTCTCTTGTTACCTGTGGACCAATAATTTTTTTTTCTTTACTGAGAACCACATGTCCATTCAAATATCTTGAACCGCCAGCAAGAACTGTTCAGTGAATGTCAACCACTGCAAAGTCCCAGGCTCGTTTCCACTGGAAGAAAACAAAACCCCGCAGCCTTCCCCCTTTGTCAGTGTACCAGGGCAATCGCCAGAGTCATGTCTAATGTTATAAGCTTTTAGCCGAGATGGCCTTGTTTCGACTTCCCTGAAGTCAGTCTTAGCAGAGGAAAGAAATGAAAGACAGAATGATTAACATATATAGTGTATAAAGTATAGAAGAGTAATCTCTTCCCTGTGGCTTTATTTGGTGGTGTTACTGTTGTTTATTCTTTGTTTATATGGGAGATTTCAGAGTAAAACCTATTTAAGAATACATTTATCTATCTGCTGATTTTCTGCTGTTTGATCTTATTAAGTGCAAGACCTGTCATTAGTAATTTCATTTTTGTATTTAATTTGCTATGTTTGCACGTACATTACATTTGTTTTGATGTCTATTTTTGTTTAAACAGATTCAGTCATAAAGTAATGGTAACAAAAGCCCTCTCCATTGTCAATAAAAACGAATACTTCCAATTCTCTGTTTAAGCTTTGTTTTCTAGTAACGTAAATTTGAACAATTTACTGAGTATCATTCTTTTAAGCGGAATCTCCTCAAAAGTGAGTCAGCCACAAGGGGGAGTACTAAACTTGCTTATGAGAGTGATTTTACAATTTTCTGAAAATGTTGCCTGGGCAGAAACAATGGAAAAGAGCTTTTTAAGCTCATTTGAACATGGGGATGCTGACTCACAGAAATGAAATATAATATAAAAACTATGATATTATAACAATATAAACTACATTTGTATCTACTCATACAGGATTTAACCACAGAAGTTTCTCCCCTTTAGAAATCATAAGCAAGAAATAGTAATCATTTATAACAGACTCAAATATATAGGGATAAAAAAGATCCATCTATGTGTCTCATAAAAGCATAAAATACTCTTTAATTTATAGGATAATATCTTTCAGATTCTAAAATCCATTTAATCTACTTAAAATTCATTTAATGACCATCTAGCAATATTATACATTTTCACATAATTAATAATCTAAGCCTTTACAAATACAGTTTTATATAAACCAAACTGCTTTTTAAATGCAAAACAGGTCTTAATTGTATATACCCAATATATTTTCATGGGCAAAATAATTGGAAAAACACTTCTATAGATTTTAAAAGAAAATCTTTATATTTTAATTTTTCCAATGTCTTACAGTAAAAAAAAAATATGAAAATATGAAAGGCCATACAGAATTTATTTCATCAAATTTAAATATGACTGCATTTTTAGTAACATTATATTGTTATTTTTAAAGGTACATTTAATTCAGAATATGTTAGGTACTATGTAGTAAAAGTGCTTTATGATATAAGTATTAAAGTAAAAATTTCCTTCCCCCCCCCCAAATTTTAAGCAATCTGATGACTTGAGTGTCTTTCTGGCCCCATAATTATTAGTATAAACGTGACATCCTCTGACCCTGCAAAGGAGATATATATTTCCTCAACCGGACACAAGAAAAAGCTGCTTCCCCAGTCTTGTGTATTGCCTTCTTCTCACTCAACTAAAAGACAGCTCCAGCCTGCTTGCTGACGTTCCCTTCCGATGTGATTACCAGGGAAAATGTGCAAGAGATCAAAGCTGTAACCTTTACACACTTCTTGCCCCTGTGTAATATGCCTTGAGTTTATTATACCTGGCAAATGATATAGTTTCAGCTAAAGAATTTTCCATGTCAAATTAACTGAATCTTACATGAAAAAGTAAGGTAATACAATTAAATGCTAAGACATAACAAATGGATTATTTGTTAAGATTACAGATGTGATAATGGACTAAATGTACCCAATATAAGCTACACTTTAAGAAACCCAACAGTTTCAAATTATAAACTGAATGTCTGTCTAGTTGGTTTAATTGAGGCTACTAAAATAATTAACAAAAACAACTAGATGAATATAGTTTTTCCAGATGTAACGATCAAAAAGCCAATTTAAGCAAATAGAAATTTATTTGAAGAAGTCATTTATTTGAATAGCCTATGGTCCATGTAAAAAGCACACATTTTCAAAATGTCTTTATACAGTTTGTAAGCAATTTTATACAAGAGACAAGTAAATATTCTCCTTATCTAATATCTCTGACATATATTTCATGTACCCAGACTATCATATTAGGACAGCTGTTCTTCACAATAATGTTCCTGATGGACTGAAAGATTAAGGAATACTTTGAGTACCATCAAAGGCTCAATGGGCATGGTATATTTTTGTGTTTAAATGAATTCTTTGATTACTGATAACGTCCAACTCTATGTAAACCAAATATTTAATTATCCATATTGTCTACTCTGATTAATTGGAACATTATCATAAGCTTATTAACAAAGATTCATTTTCAATGTTTTAAAAAATATATCAATGGTTTTATAGAAGTTTAAATGCAAAGATGTGTTTGAATGGCACAATATTTTTAGTGCGTTATTTAAAAATCAGAGATTTTGCATAAAAATCTGGTATTTTTTGTTTCTCTTACATAATGTAAAAACTTCTACATTTCTTCCTGAAAAGCTTTCTTTTTGCCAGTGTACCCCATTTCATATCATTTCCTTGTTTCCATAAGAAGCCGGAATCAATAAGTACAGTCCACTAAGCACCAAAACAAGAGGAGGGGCTCCAAAAAAACCTCCACTCCATGACAGAGAAAGGATTCAATGACCTCCAGACTCTTGGCCAGGCACAGGATTCCCTTGACTAAGTAACAAATGACCTGACCCCAGAGCTGTATCCAGGAAGCCAGCCTTCCCTCAGGAAATGACAAGACAGATCCAGCTACCTGGGAAATCACCGATTAGATGATTACCATGCATGTGGGCAACTCAATAACATTAGAAAACTTTCCAAATTTCCATAAGAAAAATTGTAATCATTTTTTTTTTTTACTTCAACTTGAATTTTAGGTTTTGGGTCAAAGCTGCGGATGCTTATTTTTAGGAAGTGGCTTTATATTAATGTCACTTTCAATCAAAATGCTTTTGGGGGAGGTACAATTTTTAAAAATCATTCATTAGATATGTTTTTCTAAAATTAAAGTGCTAGACAACCTATAATGAGTCATGTTACAAGTAATCGATAGCAATGCTAATTGGGTCTAATCACTAGTCTTCGAGTTCATTTTTTTTAAGACCACACTTCACAATTCACATTTCAGTTTGCAAGTAATTTCGATGTAAATAGTTATTTCTGTGAAATAATTCAAAAACCTTGACTCCAATTAGAAAACTGACTCAAAAAAAAGTCATGATGCTTGCTTTAGCACTTCTTCTATGTGCCTAAAAATGCTGGGGTCTTCGATCGTAGGCGTTACCTGAAAAGAGAAGTGGAGGTATAAGTGCACTTCCTTAAAACCTTTTCATATATTTCATAATTAAATAATTACATGCAATGTTGGATTCTCCATTATCTTATAATACTCATATACATAAATGTTCAGAAATAGGGAACTTTGAACCTAATATTTTAAAATGTCCCTCAGCTTTACGGAATGATAAAACAAACTGTCCTGTTAGCAAAACTAATGGTCCTCAATGCTACTTTTTACAGAATTCCTCTTAAGACTTTCTATGTGCCTCTATAAAAATAAAATGTTTTTTGCATTTGCACTACTCTACTATTAAAATATGTATATCTCAGTATGTACAATCTGCAGACAAATTTTAAAAATTCATATGCTTGGATCAGCCTAAAGTTTCCTAAAATAATTTTCACTCAATACAATTAGCATATGTATCAATGCAAAGAGTTAAACAGGTATTGCCAGCCTTAATTACTTGCTTTCTCACTAACAGCCATTAATGAATACAATGAAGGAAAATGTAATGCAATAAAGATTGCATTTCCACAAGTTTGATTGGATTTAACTAACATTTACTAATAGTAATATTTTCGTATATTCTCAAAACATATGATTTTAATTAATCTGTGGTTCTCCAAAGCCATGATTCCTACAGAGTGACTATGCAATTTCTCACTTAACATTTTAATAAGTGCTATTATGTGTATTTTAGGGATGCAATTCATAATTGAGAACCATTTTTAAGAACTTTGCTGATGCCAAAGAAATGGGGATAAACCATTTCAAAATTCAGCATTAAACATCCTTGATAATTTACCTTATAAGGCTTGCCATTGACAAGGGCAGACAGAGCTGACCGGGGAATTTTGCCAGATCTAGTTTTGGGTAATTGTTTGACAAAAACTGCATTTCGAAAAGCAGCCACAGGGCCAATGCTCTGTCTAACGTGCTTCACAATTTCTTCCAACACTTGTTCCTCGGTTGTATTGATACCTAGGGAGAAGGTCAGATGGGAAGCAGTGAATTAACCTTAGTTAATCATTCAGGGCCCAAACAGTCAGGGTGGACAAAGCTCTCACCTTTTCTCAATACGCAGAGGGCTAAGGGGACATGCCCTTTCAAAGGGTCTTCCTTGCCAACAACAGCGCAGTCAGCCACGGTGCCATGGGAAAGGACTGACTGTAATAAGGAAAATCATTCATTTAGTGCGTGTGTGTGTGTGTGTGTGTAAATTATTTTAACTGGGAAACTAAGTACATGTCAGATAACTCAAAAACACATATCTGTCTGTGTGAAAATTACTACTAATTCACAATTCATATCTTACTACTGGTGTGAATGATTAGGATCCCCACCGTAGTCACTCACTAAAGGCTGACAGTAATTAAGACAAATTGTTTAGTTCACCTGGAAAGTAAGGGATTTGTTTCTTCATCTCAATTGTTTATTAGTAAAGTCAGGGAAAATATGCAGGATACCACAGGTTAACCAATTGCAACAGGTCTCTGAAAACAGAGCCTCGTGGTGATTTGGCTTTAGTGGTGGCAACCCAAAGCTCACCTAGCAGGAGTCCATGGCAGCCCCAGGACTAAAGACGTAGTGCTTATATTTTTGCATCTGTTACTAAGCAAAGATTAAAGCATTTCTTTTCTTGAGTGACCACCCAACCAGAGAAGACTTTCCAAAACAAGAGACTGGACATGGAGTGAAGCCCTGACATCAAGGAATCACATTGTCCAGGAGCCGTTTTCATATGCTCGCCCGAAGCTCTCAGTGTCTTAAAGAACAAAGAAGCTACCTATCTGGAATCACAGGAACCAGCTGAGTAAACCACAAGAAACACAGAAGCTTAGGGTATAAAAAGCCATTTCTGCTATGATGGGATTTTAAAAATTGAATATCCAAAAAGTTATTTTCTGAAAAAGTAATACATAGTTCAGTGACTGCAAATCCCTAGTGACTAGACAAAACAGTGAACAAGATACCAACAGTTCATTTAGAAGTTCTCATTCTTTCTCCCAGTCATTCATTCAACAAAGATTGACTAAATACCTCCTGTGTTCCAGCCACTGCACTAGATTCAGTGGTGAGCAAAAATAGGCAGAGCACGGTCTCATGGTGCCTATGGCCTAGTAGGGGACAGCAATATTAACAAGCAAGCATAAATATTTGATT